TGAACCAGAACTAAACCAGGGCTAAACCAGGACTGAACCAGGACTGAACCAGGACTAAACCAGGAGTGAACCAGGACTGAACCAGGTCTAAACCAGGACTAAACCAGGACTAAACAAGGCCTAAACCAGGACTGGTTCAGTCCTGGTAGCGTACCACTCCCACTACACCCCTGATCACTTGTGATGCGCTGTGTAGTTTGGCTTTATGGGAGGCTTATGAACAGTATGTGTAATAGCTTTATTCTGTGTAATGTCACTGAATAGTTCTAATGCACGGCGGTGTGGACAGGAAAGCAATAATTTCATTGTACAGGGTAAGACGTTTCCTTATTGTGCACACTTTAAATCTTGAATTTAGTGCGTACGTTAAAGTGTTTGCCCCCCCCCAGCGCAAAAGTCAAACTCCGCCTATGCCCACAACCTCCTTGCAGTGAGACAGAGAGCTGCTACTGATCAGCACTGGGCCTTTTATTCAAGCAATGCAATTAGTAACACTGGAATTTCAAATTTTCTGTAAAGCAATGTCACATAAAATTAATTTGTTCAAGTTAGCAATTTCATTTTCTGTGTATGGCTTTTTATCAAGGTATTCATGCTTCATTGTTTGTCAAATCATTTTAAACTATGTGCCTCTCCCTAAGCAATGCAAATTTTCTCCACAATTGTACATTCACAAACAGGGAATAATGACTCAAGATTTGTGTATGTTAAACAGTTTGTTCCAAAGTAGTTACATAATTTAGCAACTTCAAAACCAAGTATGCATCCAGAATATAAACAATTACATATATATTTAAAGCGCCCTAATTTTCCCTTTGTATATAACTTATCATCTTTCTCTTCTTTATTTCAGCGTTCATTGCACACTCTATATCCTCACCATGATCCACTGTATGCTTTGAATGGATGGTTGTACTATCAGCTATGCATGGACAGACAATGATGCACCAGATTTGATTTTATGGGTTTAAATCTACCATTAATATTCAATTCATATGTTTATAGGAGCTCCCGAGTGCCTTTTTTCTCTGTTACAGCATAAAAACCACATTAAAATTTACCAAGCATTACCTAACATTGGAGTAACTACTACTACAAGTGCAGACTAAGCCATTTGAGTATATTAAAAAATTATGAACACAGTTAAAAGCAAAATATCTCTATGCTTATCGTAACTCTATACATTTGCTATTTTTGTCAGGAATAATTCAAAGGGCCCATATTATTACGTAATTTTATTATTAATATCAAACATACCTGGAGTTGCGTTTTACAAATACTGCATATTTAGGAGTTCTTCTGTTAAACTGAAAACACTCAGCACCACCCTCTGATATCATGCAGTAATAGAGGAAGGTTCAGGCTCCACTGTGTTTTTAAACTCCATACACTTTCACTAGAATCATGGATGATTTCATCCCTGGAATTGCCAAACTCTACTGAAAAAATGCAGCTGTTAACTAGAAAACTACTGCTTCATGACATCAGAAGGTGGAACAGAGCATTTAGAGCTTTGGAGATCTAAACTAGTGTTTTCCAAACTTTTTTCTGGAAACCCATATTTTAAAAGTCACAAATCTTTGCGACTCAAATCAATAGACATTATTCATAAATCACAAAATAAATTTGTGACTATTATTGAACATTAATGAGGATATTTTATTGTTGACTGAGTGATTGTGTCTCTCTGAACAATTAGTATTACTCAGAAAATTGGTTAGGCAAGGCAGTCCTTCTGAAAAAGTGAGGAGGAGCGGGGGAAGGGTGCTCGGAGATTCCTTGCACGGAGAAGAAGTGAGGAGCGGGGATGCGCGGAGAGTCTGTACATGGAGAAAAAGTGAGGAGTGCACGGAGATGTATGCATATGTATATTGCAGACAACAATGATCTAGCCAGACTAATAATCCAAGGTTACTCAGACATGTGTGAATGAAACAAAACACAACTCAAGGTATGTTTTTGACTAGATACCAGCATGATAACATGGCTTACAGCTCCCAAGAGTATATTTTTTTGTAGTATAGGATCTTTACTACAAATTTTTGTAGGCTATAAACGATTATATTTGATTCACTCTGATTCTAATACAGAATATTTCTTAGTCTGGTCATTACTACTCATCCCACAATCCTTTTTCCCCAGTTATATTATATGGCTAATCCACCTGTCAATCATGTCCAAACTTCAAGAGCTCAAACCAGACCCCAGACAACACATCTTTGTACAGTTTTGGAAAAGTGTCACAGATTTTGTCTTCTCTAAAACCTACATATATTTACTAGAATCAGTTTATAGTGTTTTTGATATCACACAATCTTCGTTCCACACTCCTCACTGCGCACTAAGTCACTAACGGAGCTTGATAGCCTCAGCGCCATGACGACCTTGTAAAGTGGCTTTTGTTGCTTCAGATGGAGGTTGTCATAATAGCAGCAGTTGTTCAAACCCCAGCACACAAGTGAGGAAGTGAGAGGGGCTGTGCAAGCGCCTTTGCAAACTAAAGCCATTCTTTTATTTTATCAGATTTAGTGTTATACCCACCAGTGCAAAGTATCTCCCCAATAAAGCTGCATTTTAAGAACACATTTATTGCACTTTGGCGTATACATTGGCCTGTTTGGGTAAAACTACTGACTTTCTATCCATAATAAAAATAAATCTTCCATAAAATAAAATATGAGCAATGAGTCTTAAAAGGTGCATTGTTTAAATTATCACAGAGATGGTATTGCTTTGTCTGAAATATTTCACAGTACAACATGAAATTCTATCATTATGGGAACCAAACCAGGCCATGTTATTGGTCAGATCAGTGGAGAGGGAATCCCGCTCACAGTCAGAATGCCTGTTTTTCTAAGTATTTTTAAGCAATAAAACCATCTGTAATGTAAGGTAGATGTGTTTATTGTCATATTGTGGAACATTCGAAGAAGAGTAATAATTACATCTCCATTGAAACAAGAAGGTGACGGATTCCCAGCTTCCCACCACATTGTTTAACTATTGATGCTTGATCATTAATGTTTCCGGATATAGCCCAGCTAGAACTCTCTATAGCCAGGGTGCATAGGGCCAAGAGTGACACAGTTACCCTATGGCATGTTTTCATTAAGCGTCTCCAACAACTTTGTAGCAGACCTCTGCTTGGGTGAGGCTTTGGACAGGGGTGGGAGTTTGTTCTTGTTCTTCTTGGATAGCAATAATTATGACTATGTATGTATGCAAACTGTACTCGTGATTATTGCGAGATTTTCAGAACTCATGAATGTACAGTTAATGTGATTAAGCGGCAGTTCAATTAAAAAAAAGTTGATCTCACACACACACACACACACATTAAAAAAAACACAGTATTTAAATTACTTCACTCAAAATATTGCAAGGCTGTATTGCAGAAATTGATTTTTTTCATCACAAAATAGAGCCCGACCGATATATCGACTGGCCGATATGCTTGCTGACGATAGGCCGATATTTCACGTGGACATGTTATACCTCGTTATAAAGCTTAGACTCTCTACATTATGTTAATTTAATCCAATTTACAGACAGATAAATGTCCAGATATGTTACTCTGCGTCAGTATTTATCTGCGGAGTCATTTGTCAGTGTGTGCGTCCATACTGTCCCTGAACACACCCCCAGAGTCACGTGCGTTTGTTTACACCCGCAGACATAGATCCATGTGCAACAATGAGATTATCTTCTTTTTACGGACAATCAGTTTGAGTCTGGATTAAAAGGACCTTTATTAGTGCAGACTTGTGATGTGAGGAGGAGCCTGTGTGAGCGGTGAGTGTTGATAATATTTCGACTTTGAAGATAGTTTTGGTTCGTTCTGATAGGTTAGCATTAGCTGCTGTAGCTCTCACACATAAACAGACTGTTTTCTGTTGGTCTATTGTAAAGTGACTATATTGGCCGTATATTCGTTACAGGACCTGCATTGATATGTAAATGAGCTGTGAATAGACGTGTGAAATATGAAATTTGGGCATATAATTAATTACCGCGGCTAATAGCAATTGTTTATTTACTCGCTAGTAGTGACGGGTCGGTCGCGAACGAAGCGCTCTTAGAGCCGGCTCTTTGAAGCGAACGACGGGAGCCTGATCCTGAGTCATGTTTTCTCTTTCTCTCACTTTTTTTCTCTTCACACGGCGTGCAGACTCTTGGTAGTTTGACAGCGGCAGCGGCTGAAAACGAAACTTTCAAAAATATGTGTGTGCATAGAGTAAAAAAACATGCATATGTATATTCAGCATAAAATAAATAAACCAGGACTAATCTTGGGCTCGACAGAGAGAGGGATAGAGACCGAGTCCTGACACTCAGTCCTGGTTAAATTCTGGTTTAGTCCTGTTTTACACATGGTTTAGATCTGCCTTAGACCTGCTTTAGTCCTATGACATATCATGTAAAGAGGCAGAAAAACAATAAATGTTGCCTAAATAAACCCAGTTTAAAATCCACCAGAGCCAAACCTAAGTTTTTTTTAAATAATTCAAGATTTACAGTGAATTTTTACATTACTAAATATATCGCCGATTATATCGGCTATCGGCAGCTCCAACTCCCATTATATCTGTATCATATCGGCCACAACAAAATCCATATCGGTCGGGCTCTATCACAAAACTCTGCCCCCTCCCATGGACAATAACCACACTCAACAGACACACTCAGCAATACAATAACAGTGCACTGGAATTCGCATTGTTGCATAATGTCAAAAACTCCACATATCTGACTGTATGTTCCTGTGAGGACTTTAATGCTGATGCCCTTTATGCTGCTATGACTATTACTGTTTATTACACATGCGCTGTACTGAATGTCATTATTATGGTTTGTTTGATGCTCTAAGCCTAATTTTGTTGTTTTTCTATGACTATGACATTAAAATCTTGAAAATAAGCAAAGGATCATGATTTATGTAGTACCACCATCATTTATTTGTGGCTCTATTTTTCTAAGCTCTCCGTCCTTGTGTCTTGCAGCTGTCTTCAACCTCATCCCCGTAGGCCTTCGAGTGGTAGCCATCCAAGGCGTCCAAACCAAGCTCTACCTGGCTATGAACAATGAAGGCTTCCTCTACACCTCCGTAAGTTCCACCTTTTATTCACGCTATCTTCAAAGCCTATTTCCGCAGACAGCACATACAGGGAGAGGGGAGGGAGACGGGAGGGAGGGAGGTTGTCTTGGTGAAGTGATGCGGTGGGGACCTGGACAATTGGCGTTTAATCAAGGGCTGACACGCGCAGACACAGGCACAGGCATTTACGTACAAGCAGCCAGTCCCTATGGGCCATTCAGAGGCACGATTCTCCTACACATGCTGCTGTGAAGAGCCGGACACTTAGAAAACTCATTGTAGCTCAGGGAACACTGCCCCTGCTTGTGAATAACAATTGGTTCAGAAGTACACATATAATGCATTTCTATATATGTCTTTTATGGTAGCTACAATATACTGGCAGGTTTGATTAAAGGGGCACTATGTAATTTTTCTGAAAGAGGGGCCTGCCACCTGCTTGTCTCCATGGAAATGTTACTGCTTTGCGTAAAATTTTCTACTGTATGGCGTTGCATTCATTCAGTGAGGTGTGTTTAGTATCTAAAAGTACCTTACATGCATTCTTAAGGGCAAAGTATAGTTCTGCATCTACTCAACTCACACTGTCACCTTTGCCTTGTCGCTGTTGGTTTTGATTTATGGATCTGTGTCGAGATATCTGCACCGCAAAGTAATTTACCACCACAACACTAGGGGGCAGTGAGTTGCGAAATCACTTTAACTCATTGGTGGAGCGTTTTCCTGCCTGTCACCAGTCACTGAACAATGGTGACTGAGCGGGAGAGGACACTCATGGAGTTGGAGCTGATAGATATTGAGGAACAAATGCTTCTGACACAAATGTTGCCAAAGAAATGAAAGAGAAGACAAAGAAGTTGGGCTATATGCCCTTTGAGTGAGTCAAGCACAGAGGAGTACCAGAAATGTATGTAGAGCAGATGTAGAGCGGACCAATCATGGCCCTTGTTGTCTGCATTGCTTCTCCCTGCTGTCTGCATTGTTTCGACATGTAGTTGGAAAATTTCAGAGATGCACATTGGTCGATGCAGACGCTCTGCATAGGGGGTTCAAGTTGACACAGAAGATTTGACACTGGACTAGAAATTGGCTTTTACAGAGCAGGCTCACCTCTACACAGAGCTGACCTGTAAATTGGCCTGGTAGTATCAACTCAAATGCATGTCTCAATGGAGACAGATAATTTTCATGTTATACTGTATATGTAGTTAGTAATACCTTTTCTCTCCATTATATTTATGACACTAAATCCATTAAACAATATGCAGCAGTCCTGCTATGAGTGTCTTTAGTTTCAGTTTGTCTCGTGAATCTGCTGGAGGAGGCTGTTGCGAGTTCAAGTTATTGCTTAAGGTCCAGATTTAAGAGATCTTTTTTCAGTTTTATTGATGTTGGAGGTTTATGCCCAAGAGAAAACACTAAGATGAGCATAGCCTTTCCTTGTGCTCCTTCTACTGGCAGAGGAGATTACAGAAATATAGTATTCACTTATTCCAGTAACCTTTAAACTCATTTATGAATCCAACTTGTATCATGATGCCAAAACACCACAGTAGCCTTAAGCCAAAGTTAATACAGTAATTAGGTCCAATTCTCTTCATAAATTTGTACAAATGTTCCCTATTAAAACACTTTATGGCACACAGCCCTACACGGAAATCATCTCACCATAGCACTGTGGAGTTAATCACATTTAAATCAAGATCTTGTCATTTGAAATGGTCAGTGATCACCTTGGATCTGTTTAGTTCAGAGATCTACAGCCAGGTCTGCTTGACAATTGCCCATTCCTCTTGTAGATTTATGTTGCGATGTTACTCTCCTTTTACTATTCACTGTTCGGGACTTAAAGGTTATGACCCTTATTGATTGGAGCCAGTGAAATGCCAAAACTAACTATTATTTAGATTTCACATGACACTATCCACTCAGAAGCTTTATATTTCTTTAAGATAAAGCCTTGTTTGGCATCAATATTATATTGTCAAATTTGTTAAGATTCAGTAATGGGGGTGCTAACTAAACTGAAATTAAGATATTGTAAATATATAATTTAATTCAACATGACTATATTTTTGTACTATTTATTTAAAGTTGCACTATGTAACAGCAGAGTTTGCACTGTCTGATTGCTTTGCTTTGAAAGTTCCTCAGTATGGCATTAAAATTGTCTATATTTATGGAGACATGCAGTTGACGCTACCAAGCAATGTTACATGTTAGATCTGTGAAGAGGGGGCCCTGCTCACAGTAAGAATACATGTTTTTCAATGTATTTTTGAGTACACGTAACTGTATAAATACAACATACATAAGTCCAATGCCATACTATGGAACATGCTAGGAAAAGCAATAACATCAGCATGGAAACAAGCAGATGGCTGGCACCCTCCCAGAAAAGTTACATTGTGCACCTTTAATATATTATGCTTAATATACTAAGTAGTTATGTACAATAATAATAAATGGCTCAAACAAAGGTCTCAGTGCAGCTCAACAGTGTTTATAATTGGTCTTTAAAAAAAAAAAAAAGTCCTGTATTTTATTAAACTTGCATAGAATTAATCAATTATTTTGTTACTATTTTACCAAATGATTGCACAGTACACATTTGAGTGTACTGTGCAATCGGCTAGTATCTTTAGTCCCAAATCCCCATTGGATCATCATTTCATATTGTTTGGTCTGAGTTTTAATCTGCTATATTCGATGCATTGAGCTCTTGGTCCATTGTCATTAAAGACACATCTCTGCTCTGTCCAGACGCACATTATCAGACCATCAACACGTCAATACCAAACTACAACGCTGCCCTGTGCCGAAGCCCTGCGCCGGAGCCTGTGCCGTCTGCTTATCTGAGCTCTCATATTTTGCTTTTCTCCGCATCGATTTCACCCGCGACTGTGATGGAGAGATTACTCTGTGTCCGTTTAGCTGGCTCTCACTCAAATTTGTTTCCTTGCCTTTCTCAATCAGATGTACGCATGCATTACAGACCCGAGCCTGTGCATAAATTAGCTCAGGCGGGTCGGAGAAGCAGAGTCGGCGACAGCATTAACTAGCTCACTTTAGAGGAGCGGAGGAGGTGGGCGGTGAAAGTGAAATGGAGACAAAAACAAACAAAAACAAAACGCACTTGTCACAGTGTAAACCAGGGTTTGCCAAAATGTTTCTCACAGTTATTTCGAAATGTGTGGCCACTTGTAGATTTATTATGTTTTGTATTGAGCAGGTAATTTTTGTGGTAGATGTAACCAAATATGCACGATTTATGCCTGGCGATTTATGCCACATTAACTTGGTGCACAAGAGCTAAGTTTGCATCAGTGAATGTAAGGTAAACTTAAAGTCGACTTTTTGTGCTTTCTTCCATGTTATAACATTATTCCCTTATCAAAAACTTGGCTGAAGTGGATTTATATTTCATCCATGCATGTTTGCGTAATCTTACAATCTCTGCCAGGCGCTATTCAAACCCCCTTCATGGTTAGCTGTTTGAGCCTTCACAAGACTAAGCTCAAAAGCCTACGTAACCCATGCTTACACAAACCAGATTTTTCCATAAATATACAAAACAATGATATTAAAACAATACATTACAACTTCACAAATCTGACGCAACGTGCAGTAGTTAATAATAATAGTGATAATAATAATAGATGATAATGATACTGTGGACTTATATAGCACTTTTTAGACGCTTTACAACAATAAAACTGAAACGTATTTGCCCCAAAGAAGTGTAATACTTAATTATTAATAAGAATATATTAAATAACCATACATGGCTCCTTGTGTTCCAGTGGGTCCATCCATTCAAAAACATATGAATAATGAATAGGTAAATTGGTAAAATATCTACTGCAACTGCACTTTTATTTATAACGCACATGAAAAAGAACACAGGTTGAACAAAGTGCTACAGAACATGATTAAATAAAAAGAATAAAACAATAAAACAACATATGACAAAAAACAGAATCTAATAAAAACGATAAAACAACAGTCTAGTTGCAGTTTGTCTGACTGAAGACTGCAATATGATTCAAATCTGAGCCCCAGCCCTATAGTAAAAGATTTAAACTATTATGTTACAATATTATTATTTGAACATATTTTCATGTATTATGTGTTGCTCCAGTCAACCACATAGTACACAGGTGGAAAAAAATGTTTATTGTTGTGTAACTTTTTTACTGGTACAACACATCCTACAATCTCTGAGTATAATATTACACATAGTGGCACGGCAACTCTCTCTCTTGCTCTTTCTCGCTCACACACATACACACACACCTCTGTTACATCACCAGTTGTTTTTTTTTTGCTCTGGTCATAAACTCATATCAGCTGATCTGTTCATATCTCCTCCTCCCACAACAGACAAACACATCTTATTGTTTTCCTGTTTGGTATTTACATTCACATTACTTTGGGTAAATAATAGATAGTGCTTATATAAACCGATAATGTGTACAGTTTGCAATCAAAACAGGCCACACACTCACCACTGTTGTTCTTCTGGCTAATTGTCAATTAGAAAAGCTAAATGAAAAAGGCTAACTGTCCATTGCATTGTGTTAACAGTTACTCCTGCTTGTTTCTAATGGACATGTCATTGCTCTGCTTTCCACAATATGACATTAACCTTACATTTATTCAATTACAGTTGGATTTACTGCTCAAAAATACCTTGAAAAACAGGCATTCTGACTATGAATGGGGTCCCCTCTCCACAGATCTGGCCTGTAACTTGGTCTGGTTTGGTCTCCTTGAATGTAGAAAGATTTAATATCAGGGAGAAAAGCATTTGACGAACCCTCCACCAGAAAAGTTACACAATGCACCTTTAAAGTTAAACTGCAATATATTCTTTCTCCTAAATTGTTTAACATTTATTCAGTGAGAACACAAAGAGTTATTATTTCAACACTGTGAAAAAAAAAACATTGTTGAAATAAAAGCATAAATGTAATTGTGACCGTGGTTGGTCTACCCAGTTGTTAAGAGGGGAAGTGGACAACTACACAAAGTCAAATTTGTCTGTCTATTTTCAATGCTTTTAATTATTCAAATGGGTGCAGTTAGCAGAGGCTTAACTGGCTTTGTAATGTTCCACAGCATACTGCTTGTCACTGACTTGCTGCCATTGTTTTGCACTAACCACTTATTTCACCTGGGGTAAATTAGATCTTGAAGCCACCACTTTTTAAGTTTTGGATACTTATAACATATCCATTCATTCATTCATTACTGGTGTTTCTATTGCTCAAAAATACATTAACTCCTTCTGTGAATAATGACAACTCTCCACAGATCTGAATCGTAATGTAGCGTAGTGCTGTAACCTGCTTGTCTCCCTCGTAATAAATAGTTTTAAGTAAGTTAGTAAGTTTTTATTTATATAGCACTTTTCACAGATATATGCCACAAAGATGCTTTACAGAGCATTATTCATTCACTCCACACCCAGTCGTGGTAAGCTACTATTGTAGCCACAGCTGCCCTGGGGCAGACAGACTAAAGTGTGACTGCGAATCTCTCCAACCACCACCATCTCTCACGTACACACCACTTTCATACTAGACAATGTGGGTGAAGTGTCTTGCCTAAGGGCACAATGGCAGTTTTTGTCACTGATGCCCCACTGTTTTGCCTGATTTTCCTAGTGGGCTCCCATCTAAGTATTAACCAGGCCACATTTTAATCTATGCTGTAGAACATTCTAGACAAAGCAATAATATTTCCATGGAGACAAGCAGGTGGCAGACCCTCCACTAGAAATGTTACATAGTGGAAGAATTTGAGGTTCTTTACTGGATTGTGATGGGTTGCCAGCTGTGTCAGAACATGGCTGGCTGCTCTATAATTTGCATTCAAAGAGGAAACTGAGCGACAGGTGATGTACAGTAGACCATAGACTGTGTCGGACCTATGTTTTTGTGTATATTTTTACTATAATCTTTTTTTTTTAAATAGCATGTTGACAATCATTAATTTTCGTAATAATGTTCTCATCTAGTCTTATTGTAAAGCTGGTTTCTGTGGCTTTCTATCAGACTGCTCCCATATTGCTTGATCGTTTTTGTTACGGCACACAATGATTTTAATCCTACCCAGCCCATGATTTCATATCTCAAATCTCCAGTAGTAAATTTGGTTTGAATCTTAATCTGGACGAAAGCCTCGGAGTCTCTCAGAACAAACTGCAGCACTCAGGACCGCTGACATTTGCATTTCCTTATTCCTGCGTCTCCATAGCAACTGGCTACTCCCCTGAATACCAACCAACGCCACAGAAGAAGAGGAGACAGCATGATACAGAGTCAAAACAACGTGGTTTCACAAGTTTCTAACAGGCCTGCAGGGTTCAAATGTAGAGAGAGAAGAGGATAGTATTACTCTATCATGGGTTTACAAACTATGGGAATTCAGATGTGGATGGGTGGTTAAGATGGGAACAAACACTTGCACAGTAACATATGCCTTATACTGTAGCCTATATAATTTGATGCATTTAATTTTTTTTTTTATTACGTAGCCTGGGATTTGCGTCACTTCAGATGATAATTTAATAAGATCTTACCTCGCTAGACTAACTGGAGTCAAACCAAACAAATATGGGCACTAAACAAGGACTTAACTGGAGCCAACTGGGCTACAAAAAAATTACTTTGTCGTTCAGGCAGCTTGATAGCAAGAGAAGGATGAATTCTGTCAACCAGTCAAAGGTTTTAGATGAAATAAGTGAATTTTGCCTCTAATCTAAGTAGCTTCTTCTGTTCTGACGTAGCTCTTATGACTGGAAATGACTACTTGGAGTGGAAAAATGTATTCACTCTAAAAAAAAAACATTGTCTATTTCACCGAATTTAACATTATTTTGACAAGACAAGACCAAGACTTGGAGTGAGCCAGGACTTGGCCTGTAACAATAACAGATTCTGCTGAACGATTAATTGACCAAGAATTTATTGCGATAACAATAATATTTACATTTTGAGACCAATTTCAACTAATATATGACCATGGAATAAAAATGTAAATACACCCTTTCAAAGATCTTTACTTTCTAAAGAACATTTAACACAGGAACTGCAAAACAACCAAAAACAATAGGCCTAAATAAAACAGACTTATTGCCCTTAAAAGTTATTTTAGTTATTAATTTACATTGGAATATTGTGGCCCCTCTTTCTGTGTGAGACTCATCATTTTGGTCTTGAAGTGTTTGTATTAACCCGTGACAGAGGATCCTGTTTCGCTCGGAGGGAGCCTCTGTCCTGTCCGGTATCATGCCAGTTTCTCGTGAGATTTCGGGATTTAGGGCTCTCCCGGGGGCTAGGCTAGTTCTGTCACTCGGGTTTGGGTGTATGTCGGCTGCTGGGGTTTGAGCCTTATCTTCTCGTCGTTTGCAAGAATTTATCGCAGCCAAAAGTTATCGAATTTGTTAAAAGTTATCTTACAATTAATTGATTTATTGCTTATCGTTACAGGCCTAATCAGGACTTTACCTTATACTAGGCATTGGTATACAGTAACAGGCCAATACAGGACAAAATCAGCTTTGTTTATAGGTGATATCCTGATGAGATTTGTTTTGAATTGTTAATCGCAACAACAATGACGAGTGCTTGGATTTTCATCACTTTACAGCCAATGGATAGGTGCCTAGAGCTAGTGCCAAACCAGGTCTACATCCGAGCTAAACCAGGACAAGTCAATGTCATATTTCCAATGGGATGTGCAGCTTTAGACTAATCTAACTTCAACACCCTCTCTCACATCTGCAGCCGACTCCAGTCTATTCATAACCCCATTTATAGCAGCCCCAGCTTCTTATATGTCTAATCCATCTCTCCTCTCCCCCTTTAGGAGCATTTCACGACCGAGTGTAAGTTTAAGGAGTCTGTATTTGAGAACTACTACGTCACCTATTCTTCGATGATCTACCGGCAGCAGGCCTCGGGGCGGGCCTGGTACCTGGGGCTCAACAAAGAGGGACAGATCATGAAGGGGAACCATGTGAAGAAGAACAAGGCTGCAGCACACTTCATCCCCAAACCACTCAAAGGTAACACCACAAATACACTGCACATCAATATGGTCAAAGATCAGTGATAATGGGATTAGAATTGTCATATTTTTAGATCGAAGTAAATCAAAATTATACCTGGAGTTGTGTTTTGTTTCATACACATATATTTGAGTAACAATTTATTATCAGTCTGTCTACATCTACAATACTTTTACCTTCAGTTCAGTAGAGATTGACAATGCTAGGGCTGAAATCATCCAGATGATTCAAGTGAAGATGTGTGTGAATGAAACAAACCACAACTCCTGATATGTTTATATGTTTGTGATAAGGATACAACAATATAACCAAAAATACATCAGAAAATAGCGTAATATGGGTCCTTTAACATCTATAGAACAATTACATACGACATGAGATCTTAAGTTTTATTTTTGTGATTTTGAGTTGTTTAATCACGAGGAGATTCCAATTTGTGTATCATCATAAGAATTTTTGTGAAAAGGTATTTTAGAGTGAAGTAAGAAGTACTAAAAAAAGAAAAGAAAAAAGAAAATTCTGGGGCTTGTCTCCATGTAGATGTTATGGTTTACCGAGGCAGACAAAAAGTTCCCTAGAGCATCTTAAAACACTTCAAGACAATCAAAGCAATTAGAGTTCATGATACTATAGAATAATAAACTATGTATAAAATGTGGTTGTAGTTTAAGTAGTGTGGTTGACGCCGTGTGACCAAGTCCACTTTAATGAGGTTTTGAACTGTCTTAAAGTGAACATTTCTCAAAGGTAACTTCAGGACACTATCAAAGGTTATACAAGGATATCCCATTTCAAAAACACATCTCTACAGTATTATCTTAGGCCCTCTTGTCATTCTGGAGGAGGGAGTCTTAAATATTTTAGTGGGCTCTGGTCTTACCATGGTCTTTTCTCTTCTGGGGGCACGGCAAATCCTCTTCTCCCTATGGTGCAGTATTCACATATTGATTTCCTATATATATATTTATTATTTACCCACTCATTAGAAGTTTACACTGGTACACAATATCATACATTTCTGCAAGAATTAACCAGAACAATGCACAACTTTAAATTAGCTTTATGGAGACCGTCTTTTTTAATCACATATATAAGTTGTAATCTTTAGAAATGGACAAACATGTAAACATACAAGAAATTTACCCAGTGCACCATTTCTCTGAGTCAGTGTATATCGATGTTCTCTACTGGATCTAATTATTTGGGGAAATCACAGCGTCCTTCATAAACAGCACAAATCAATGCATTCATTAATTACTGTTTACTTTTAGTGGGTTTGCTCAATACGCCGTTTCATATCAATTATGCAGATGTTGAATTGACTTCTCTTTAAGTGCTCCTTGTTGTAGGTTCATATGAGTAAACATAGTAACAGTAAAAGTAAGGAAAGTAGTAGCAGTTGTATTCATAGTCTTATCTTCTCTGTGTAATAACGACACCTTAATTACACTTGGTGAAACTGTAAAGAAAAACATAATTCTTAATGAACAAATAGTTTATTAAAGCATTTTTAATCTTGTGAGAGTTGTTTCCCCTCACCATGTCCTCACCTAAAGTTGTATTTGGAGTGATTCATGCATGTTTGTTTTTACTTTGTTCTCCAATATCAGTTTTTTTTAATCTGTGATATGTGTAGGATTTGGCAGTGTCACGTAGTTATTTTGGTACAAAAGAAAAAAATCTGCTGTTCTCTTGCGTGATCTGCAGTTATCCATAGGAGTGGCCGATAGTGCAACAGCTCTTTATCGTGATTAACTGGAATGTCACCTTCATGGATTTATAAAGTGAAATTTTACTATTCTCTTATCATCAAAACTCTTATAATAACATTTTATTATACTTCAATGGTCTTCTGTAGGGGTGTAACGATATCCAAGTCTCATGATACGATATCGTCATGGTAAAACCTTTACGGTATGTAACAATATCCAAATCTCTCGGTACAATATTTTCATGATAAACATCTCACGGTACGATATTTATTGTGATATTTTGTAGAGGCTAACAAACTGTTAATATGTTACTTTTTCCTCTTAAAATGCCATGACAAGACTTAATCCAAAGAACTAAGACTTAAAAGTGCTTAGAAACAGAGCAAAGGATCATGGTCTATGTAGTTCCCTTCGTCTTTTTTTTAGCTATTGCTGCACCATAACTCTTAATTTAAGCAAAGATACTTGTAATTCGATATAATGTGATGGTCCACGGTATCACTGTGAGAAGTCTGATGATACAATATCACAATATTCCAGTTATTGTTACATCCCTTGTCTTCTCTCATTGGGAACCACAGTTTTCTAGTACGGAAGTTAGTGGACTTCTTTCTTTTATTAAGTAATTTTAGATGAGAATTGTGATTTAAAATATCAGAATTATAGCAAAATGATTCATGGCTGTCATAGATTATAGCAGACACAAGCACAACAGGTCTTTTTAAGAATGATTCAGGCTTTTTAACTAACTTAAGTGGTTAAGGTTTAGTGTTACATTCTGTTCATAAAATAGTTACTAAGCCTGAAATTATTCTCAATAAAGAATTGGTTCTTTGTGCGTGCTTAGTTTTGGTAAGGTTAACCAAGGTGTATTTATTGTAAAGCAGCATCTAGACAAGTCAGCTAACCTTCGTACCGTTCTCTAGTACTGAGCCACAGCTGCCCCAGTGTAGTAGCTGTGGTGCTAGTGAAAAGTAGACGTTTTGTTTCCTAAACTTTGATATGGGTTTACTGCACATTTTAAACTCAACTAAAATACCAGAATCAAATCAAATATTCTCTATAGTGAATGCTTAAACTGTGTATATAAGCAGTTTCTATCACACTTACACTGACTCCATTAGAACATAAACACTGGCTCCAGTCTCCAGATCTGAACACGCTGTTACTTTGAGCTGCACTGAAACGTGTTACATCACCTTCCCTACAGAGACACTTCCCACTTTAAACAAAAACTGCAATTTCCAACCTGTTATAGTCACCGCTGTGTGAGATACAAGAGCAGTGTGTCTCTACAGTAAGCCTCAATACATTTTCATCTTGCAAGTTAACAATACTACGGCGATGAACTACGTAACATTTTCCTGGATTCCCTTACTTGTCTCCATGGAAATTTTACTATTAGCCTACAAACACTCCACAGTATGGCATTATGGATGAATTATGATATGTATAATATACGTTTTATTTGTGGTTCTTAATGCTCTGCCTTACATGTTAACTACAGCAACAACATATTTATTTATTTATGAATTAATCAATTTCACACCTTTTCCAATCTATCTAAATGTTAATTAAGTATAGTTATTGTTGTTGTTTTTACACTTTCTTTATAATCTTTTTCAAAACCTAATGCCAATTTGCATAATTTTGAAAGGATGTATTAAATTGTTGACAATATAAAAGCATTTGAAGTTTATATTTATGATTAAACACACAATCACAGTAGTTAAAAGCAATATTATTACCACTATCTAGTCAGAGAATGTGTTACTTTTGTTCTAGTAAACATTCTAATACTTTCATATACCACAAATAAAATGTCATCATACGTATTAATCAGCCAATAGTGTTTTCTATTGGTGAAAAAGAGTGTAATAAAGGCTACAGTTTATATTATAGGCCTACATACATAAACATGATTGTTATTAGTAACCTACAATGGTGAAGCAAATGTCACTTCTTAGCACAAACATCATTATTTTAAGTTATTGCCAGTTTGGGAAGTTTGAGAATAGAATACATTTTTAGCTAAAGGTTAATGAGCATTTTGTGTGTTCAGTTGGAGCATGTCTTTGCTCCTCCACTGGTCTCATGACCTTTTCTAACACGAGGATGTGACTAAATAATAAAAATAGATCAGGGAACGTACATTTCTGTAGATGCAGGGACAAAGCGCTGGATAAGTTTTGGTTGCCGCGGTGATGTCAGGTGTTGCTGATGCTGAAGGAGGTGAGGTCGTCCAGTTTCCACGGTTACACGCCTCCAAACGTCCAAGATACTGCAAAGAGACAAAGGAGGCGACGCCCCTACAGTACAGTGTGGCAGGGAGTCACAGAAACACATTTATAGTAGTAGTAAATATCTAAGCATAAAATGAAAGAGCGGATTTCATTTGTCTTTCTGAATGAAACTTTTAGAACTGGATAGTAACATTATTTGATTCTTTAATGTGCATGTAATAATGTAAAAAGCAAGCACTCTATCAAGTAAAGTAACAGCTCAAATATGTGGAGAGGCAAGCCAGTACACATGAACTATGCATGTTTTTCAATGTATTTTGAGCAATAGAAACATTCGTAACTAATTAAAAGTAAATAGATATGTGTAGCAGAGGTGGGACCAAGTCATCGTTTTACAAGTCTCAAGTAAGTCTCAAGTCTTTGACCTCAAGTCCAAGTCAAGTCCCAAGTCAAATACAGGCAAGTCCAAGTCGAGTCTCGAGTCAGTGGCTTATAAGTCCAAGTCAAGTCCTTTGAGCTTCAAGTCATTTCACGTCTTTAAACCAAAGTACCTAATATAGCTTAGATTTTTGCAATTTATATGACTTTTAAGATAAAATGTACTTATAAAGTCATAGTATGTTTATACATGTGTATTTATAGAGTATACACAAGTTGTAGAAATGCAATTTTTTCCTTTTTAAATGTCTTGACAAGATCTTAGAGTGAATCATTATGGTCAGAATAGAACAAATTCAGATTTAAAAGTGCTTCTCAAGTCACAGGCCTCAAGTCCAAGTTGAGTCCCAAGTCTTTGTTCATTTTATCAAGTCTCAAGTCCTAAAGTGACTATAGTGACTCAAGTCTGACTAGAGTCCAAGTCACAACTTCAAAGTCCCCACCTCTGATGTGTAATGCCATGCGCTGGAACATTCCAGACAAAACAATAACATGTCCAAGGGGACAAGTACACCTGTGGTAGACTTACTTAGAATGATATGCTGTGTGCTGTTATAGTTGGGTTTATTAATCACATGACCAGAAGCAGGAAGGTACAGTTCAGCCATGATATTTCAAATGATCCTATTAAGCAGTTTGTTTTCATGTACAAAAATAAACATTGGAGTAAATTTACTTGCTTGACAATAGATAATTGATTTACCAAATAAATGGTAAGTAAATGGTAAACTGTCACATTTTTATATGCTTTTTCACCTTCAAGGCATCAAAGAGCTTTACATCAAGGAACCACTCACCCATTCACACACATTCATACAGCAGTGTACAAAGACACTGGGGGCGATATGGGTTATGTGTCACAAGGACACAATAACAGCATTCATCTGTGGGAGCTGTGATCACACTGCCAACCTGTTAGTTTACTGATCTGAACGTTCAACCAATGATGTTCATGTCCAAAGCGGGATTCAAACTGCAAACCTTTTGGATCAGAGATATTATATATATACTAACTTAACCAATGTGCACGACCTTACTTTTAAAAAACTGAAATTACATATAGTAATGCTGGGGAAAAAAGTCATAGTGAAGGCATATGATGAAGATTATATTTTTAAATGATCATTACGGCATCAAAAACAGTATCAAGCCTTTCTCTTGTATCAGCCAATCCCAGATCTTCATGTTCATGTTTGTTGTGTTTTGCAGTTGCCATGTACAGAGAGCCATCCCTCCACGACCTCACGGAGCTGTCTCGCTCTGGATCGGGGACACCCACGAAAAGCCGCAGCGCCTCTGCTCTTCTGAACGGAGGAGGGAAGTCCCCCAGCAACAATGACTTATCCTAGCCTCAACCCTCCGTCCATTTACATCAACACACCCAGACACACAACTTCCACATGTTCGCGAGCTGCACATCGATCTCAGGAGAGGAAAAATTATTCGGAGAAATGGGACGACAATGACAGAGAGCGATCTTCCACTTAACGGAGAACCACTGTGACTGACTTTGATGTAAATATAAACTACTCTATGGACAATCAAACTTTCTCTCGTCTCCTGGGCTTCGAGCGCCCGGGATCGTAACTTGTATGATAACGCAAGGACGAAGCTAAATAGTCAGTCACACAGATATTGATCCACAAAAGACTGTTACCGAGAACCAAAGAGCTCAGTATTATAAAACTAGATTTCAGAAAGGGTTGCGCCGAAAAGTTAAAGGACATCGGGATCGAAACTACTACTACTACTACTACCGTTACTGCGATGTTTACACAGAGCTATTGGGGTATTATTTTTAAAAAGTATTCCTTGTAAACTTATAGGGAGTCTGCATGCTGGCGTGAATGAAACCTGTTTGGAGATTGAGAGAGTGAGCGCGTGCAAGGGGGTCCTGGGGGTGCGTTTTCACTTTTTAACAAATTAAGTTGTATATCAGATTACTGAGGGCTTTCGCTAGTTCAATTGTATATGCTTCCGTGTTACTTCTTCTTACAATGTTTAAATTACTGTTGTGTCACTTTTGATGTATGTCTGTTCGTATGTTGTTGCATGGACCTCAGTAGCAGCATGCCAGAGGGTCAGACTTTGCCGAAAAAGGTCTTGACGAGTGGCCGATCAAGACAGTAGTGAAAGGGTTAATGGTTGTAATAGCACTGGAGGCCCATAGTAAAATGCACCATAATGATTTAGTGTGGACCAATGCTATAGGACCAGGAACCGCTTTGGTGGTTAAAAACTTAGGAGCACAGTTACTTACAACAGTTAAACATTTTCGGTTCATGCTGTGGACAACTAGAAATGCACTAAATAAATTGTTTGTAAAGAAATGAGAAAGCGTGGGTTTCGTTATTGCGTTATAGTTTGTGCTTAAAGGGACAGTTTGGAATTTTTGACACAGGACCTCATTTCCTAGTGAGCCAGAGTGTTGGAGATGTGTGGGGACACTTTTTTAAAATATTCCATCCAGTCCTTGTATTTGCAGAGGTCACTGGTGCTAGGCTAGTGCATGTCAATGGCCATAATTATTTTGCCACTAAAAACAGTCTTACCCACTCCACAAAACACCCGAAGCAAATCTGTTACTGTAATCTGTTACGCCACACTGTTGATGTAAATGTGTGTTGATAGCATAATTTTAGAAGTAAAACCAACCTTGCATTTGAAGGATTTATGTCTGAGCAGAAGCAGTGAGTTGTACTTCTTGATAGAAAGCTTGGCAGTGGTGGACTGATATATGAGAAAATAGTCCCTCAACATGCGACAATTCATGCGATGTAAGGTTAGTTTTATTTCAAACATTATTCTATCACACACTTCTGGTGCTTTGTGGAGTGGCAGGCTAAATATGACCATTGACATGCACTACCCTAGCACCAGTGACTTCTGCAAATACAAGGACTGGATGGAATATTTTAAAAAATGTCTCCACACGTTTCCAGCACTCTGGCTCACTATACTAGGAAATGAGGTCTTATGTCCAAAATTCCAAACTGTCACTTTAAAGGCTCTGTATTACACAAAACTGACTACTGTGTGCTTTGAGTCATGTTGGAATGTTGTTACCTCCTCAAAAAACAGACCCAGAGTTGTAATTCTGTTTCATTCAAGCATGTTGAGTAAGCTTTTATTATTAGTCTGTTTACATCTCTAAAGCTCAAAATGCTCAAATGTAGTAATAGGTCTCAAGTTAACAGCTGCGTTTTACCTTTAGTTCAGCAGAAATATGAAATTCCAGGGCTGAAATGATCCCAATCATTCTAGTGAAGGTGTATGGCATTTAAAAATACGGTGGAGCACTTCTTGTATTACCGCATGACATCACAGGGTGGAACAGAGTGTTTCTGTTTGAGAGAGGAACTCATCTTATGCAGGGTTTGTGTGTTAAACATGTGTGCTTGAAACAAAACACAGCTCCAGGTGTGATTTTGATGAGGAAACAAGATTATAACGTAGATTGGAAAAACATATACTGTCAGCCTTTAATGGTAGAAGGTAGGATTATAATTTAGTTGGTGGTTAATTTATACAATATGTCTTAGAAACTATTTGGTTCTTTAAAATTTACATAATTTTGTATTAAACATTCAGTATGCCTGCGTATTCTTAAAGTCAGATGCCCTGCCTAGTCCCAAAAATTTATTTTAGCTTGTACATGTAATACTTACTGTTAATTAAATACAAAATAATTGATGATGTACAATAAATAAAATAAAATAAAATAAATCAATAATTTATTTAAACTCAATCAGTCAATTTTAAATATTTGCCCTCTGAGTCATAGGTTGAATTGCTGTAACTATCGTTCACTTTCACAAAAATACTACTTCAGCATATTTTAAGGAAAGAAACTCTAAGAAAAGCACTTAAACTTAAAGTAGGCCATACCATCCAAAGGGACCCTATGTAACACAGTTTACACAATCCAAAAGCTTTGTTATGGAACAATCTGCAGTAGTCCACCTGCAATAATACTATGACATAATGACAAAATAAGTAGCCATTTCAAACAACTATAGAAAACAATCTTCTGTGTGTACAATGATCTTAATGTTCTAATGAGTTGGTTCTTTGAAGTATAAGTCAATACAGACCTTGTAGTCATGAAATGACTGTTAATGACCTTTAATGGAGCAGAAATAGAGCAAAACAGAGGAGCAGTTTGAACAAATGCATTTCTATCACTGGTCAAATTTGTATATTGGTTGTTTGGAGAACAAATACATTAGAAAATACCTTACTGCCACTTTATGATGTAGTTATTGATTTAATTTTAAGCCAATCTATATGTTCATAACTCCTGAATAATAGCCTTTTTTAACCCTGTTTTGGCCAAAATGTGTACCACTTTACAATAAGACCAAATGGCAATGGACATTACAAAAAACTACACTAGAAATTTAAAATAGTTTTATAAAAATGCAATACAATCAACAGCTAAACAAGGTTTTGTTTTTTTCCCCCATTTTGATTCAGTTGATTGATGTGTTGCTCAGTATCACCACAGATAAAAACAATGAAACAAAAAACATTGATGATAGAAGAAAAAGTAATTTGTTCATTCTTGTTGAAAAACTTAAATAATGTTCGTTATGGTTTTTCAAAGCACTTTTGTCTGCACATATGAATCAGGTTTGTAGGCTGATAGTGAAATGTAGGACTTCCTCCAAAAAAGGAACAAGTTTGAGTTTTAAATATTATGTAATTTAAACTTGGAGCGGACAGCGACTGTTATCTCTCCAGCCTCATTAAATCACTCCCACAGACTGTGGGACAAAATATATTCAGCATGGACTAAATCACTTTTCTTCTCTGGCGGCTAATTAGTCAAGTTCACAGTGGGCCAAACAAAAGTTAATGTAATCTCTCCTGATCACTACAAATTCAAAGGACCCATGACATTATATGATTAATTACTCAAAAGTCTTGCATTAAAAACCTTTCATTTTTCGCTGTTTGTGGAACCCAACCACTAGATGGAGATAATGGACACATGGGCAACTAAACGTGATTCTCAAATTTGGAAAATTATGAAATAGTGAGTACTGAGTAGACTACAAATTCAGCATAAATACATTCATAAAGAAGCACCAAGTTCTAAAAAGGAATATATCCAATGTCATCAGTACACAAAACTCAGGGACACTTTATGCGCTAGAAACAGGATTTTGTCACAGTTAACATTCATCAGAGAAAATAAAGGAGCAGGATTTTTACTTGTCAAATAATTTCTGTTGTTTTATAAATTAGACACACTTTAGCCCTTGTTTAGTGTGGTTGCCAGGTAACAGTTTACAAATTTCTTTTACGTCCAATGTGTTTATGTTTATGTCAAACCAGGAGGTAAAATGATAAATTTCACCAAAATGGTTAAACTAGCTAACTAGGTAAGTAAAATCCTAAATCATGTTAAAATTATAGTGAAATGTGTAGTCTGGTCTCATGTGCGCTTTCATCTTCTGTTATAAGACACAAAAAGACTCACATTGCCAGAGTGGACATAAACTTTTTAATTTATGTAATTTACAAAATGATAAAGTGCAAAAGTCAACTATGAAACACACACATCGTAGTAACTGTGGACTCCTGACATGTTCAGCTTCACATTGTAACAATAATAAACATTTATAATTTCATATTCAGTGTCAAACTTTATGTGCTTTCAGTGGTTCACAAAATGGGATATTTCACTCAATACTGAATATAAAAATCACATAATATAATCTTTACATTGTCCATCAAATAATTCATTTTTAAAGTCTTCTCTCCCTTTGGCTTAAAATTATTACAGACATTCAACAGCCTTCAATGTAAACACAAATTCAAAAACACTGATTTGGTAATTTTACTGTGGACCACACCAGCACCAGAATCCACCTTTACACTTTTTTGGTAATCAATCTTTTCTTTGCCATCTTCTCTTTCACTTTGAGCCAACTTAATATTTTGCCATATTTGAGTCCAGTTTTGCTTTCAACCAATGCATCCAATTGTTTTGTCATCAGGTGGTCTTCTTTGATTCCCATTCCTAAAATAAAAAAAAAGATAGCACTAAGTTCCACATTTTTTTCAACAAAAGTGTTAACCTCATGCAAAAAATGACTAGGCTAATAAAAACGGACATGTATAAACAATGGGATTAACCATTAACCAGCTCTCAAGAGTCAGTTTTGGGAAATATAGGACCTTTTAAATCTGAATTGATGTGATTTGGCATTTTTTTTGTGCATTAAATTACATGTACTCTAAGCCCTAATCTACCTATAGGGGACATAAGGTGGAATTGTAATATAAAGTACATGTTTTTCTGTACCTTGGCTTTCTGCATGACGTTGCCCTTGGATGAGGCGTACATGGATGGAGGACGTTTGCGGAGCTCAGAGGCTGAATTCACCGGTAGTGATTCATTATAGATCCTCTCAGGTTTACTGCTTTGTGCCTGCAAATAAAAATGTAAAGACTTTTAATATGACGAAGTTGTGCATTCACCTGGGAAAGTCTGTTTAGAGATAAGAGAGGCAGGGCGTTTATTATTTATTATATTTTTTTAATGGTAAAAATCCTAAATATGTCACCAATAACATGAAGCTGAAACTTTAAGCAGGGTATCCCCAAGTTTGACTACCCCAAATTTAAGATTTTTTAAGACCACTTAATTGAAAATTAAGACCAACATCGTACCCATTATGCAGGTGAAAAACACCAGATACAATTCTAATAATGACCAACCAACTACTATATTTAAAATCTAAAATCCACTGTGGATTAAACCTACACTTCTCCATGATCCATCTAACGTCTTCCTCTACTGTACTGAAGAAACCAAAAGTATTGTTTGCGCATACTCCAAATTAGACGTTCATTCACGTTGATATTTCATGTTGTTTTTTTCCTTCCTCCTTTAACATTGCACTGCAGCCCGGTTGAGTTTACAAAAAAATAGGCGAATGAAATTTAAGACCTTTGTGAAAAAAATAAGACTTGGACAACATAATTTAAGACTTTTTAAGGCCTTAATTTAGGAAGATGAAATTTAAAAGCTTATTAAGACTTTTAAGACCCCTGTTAATTTCCTTTCAGATCAGTATACTAATATTTCATCTAATGTATACTGGGTTTCAACAGGGAATTCTTCTGCAGTGACAGTATTATACAAGCCCACATGCCACATACACACGGTACAGACTGTATTCACACCTGTATACTATATATACATCTATAGAAATACTGTATGTCTTAGCAGTACCTTGGCAGCGGTCTTGTTGTCAGGGGGCGGGGCTGAAGATACACGAGCCAATGATTTCTTGAGATTCTCTTTCACTTCGGTGAGTTTCAGCTCCAACTCCACTCGCTCCTCCTCCTTCTGCTTCAGCTGAGTCTCCAGATCGGACAAACGCTGCTCCAACGTGGGCACTGTCAACGATATATTATGTTATTAAATCATAGGGTTAATGAGCATGGAATTATAAAGGAAAAACAATGTCGAAATGAACAATTGTCTTTATATGTCTATATAAACTGTAAACTATATTATCATAAATTAAGAGTCTAAACCAAAAAACACATTTATATTTTAGGTTTTGTAAGGATAAAATCTATGTATTAATGACTTATATATTGGGAATATATTAGGAATCTGTGCTGTGTTCAGGTCTGGTGGAAAAAATTCAAATTAGGTTGGTGAATTTTCTTTTTCACAAATTGGCCTCTTCAGACTTTTTATTTTAATGCTATAACATCTTCAATGTTTTAACAATTACAACACCATACCATTTTGACAAAAAAAACTACTTACTCAAAAATTCTGTTTGCAAAATCTTATTATTTCCAAAAAACTGCAAAGTTATTAAAAGTATGGTCCCCAATTATTTACAAAAACATGTCTACGGTTGTCAGCATTTTCCTCATTACTGTTTTATAACTTTTCTACAGTGTATTGCAAAGTTAAACAACTACAGCAGCCCCAAAGGAATAACTTCAGCTTTAAATAATCGGGTTTTACAGGGACATAGTAATCTCAGATGGGAAGTAACAGACATTATAACAGTATAGAGTATAAAAAAAAATACTGCTACAACTCTCCTATGGAAAGTAAACGTGATAAAACATTGACATATTGAACATTGATATAGAAGCCTACGTTTTTCTCTATAGTTGCGTTCACACTTGGTCCTGGTTTGATCCTGGTTTAGTCCTGGTATAGTCTTGGTTTGATCCGACTCTAGTCCTAAATTAGTCATGATCTAGTCCCACTCAAGTCCCGGTTTTGTTGTGTGTAAGTGCGATCACAAGTGTGGTTTCTATAGTGACGAGTGACATCATCAGTGCGTATTGTGCGTGTAGGAGGTGAGTTGTCTGACCAGGGCCGGCCTTCAGCTCCTCTTTGACCTCTCTCTTGTCTCGGCGCAGAACGGCCAGGGCTTGTTTCAGAACCTCTTTCTGCTTCTCCAGCTCCTCTTTCTGAAGGAGGAAGCGCCGCGCGTCCTCCTCCGCACGCATTTTACCGTAGCGGCCGTACTGGTTCACATCTACGCAAAGAGGAGTACAACCTTAGCTAGTAATTACAGTAATAAAAGCAGTAGCATAGGCAGTAGTAGTAGAAATGTGTTAAAAGTCTTTCCTGTTACTAGTAGTCAACAAACAAGCAAACTGGTTAATATGATGATGAAAAGGATGAGTGCAATATGAAAAATATGAATAAATAAAGAGCTGCTGATCAAGGCAAGAATAAAATAAGAAAAAGAAAAAAAGATTAAAAGTATTTCTGTGCTCTTGTTTTTATAGTTTTACAGTTCATTCACTTTTTGTGTGACAAAATTTAGAGGCATATCATGTGATAATCTCCAATAAAGTGATATTTTTGTTTACCCTTACCCTTAATTTATAATACATATAGTATTCTATTCTTATATTCTAATACTAGAATAACTAAGCAATGCAACAGGTGGATTTAACCAAATGGAATGAAGTGTGAACTCAAAAGAAGCAGATGACTTTAGTTCTCTCTTCTAAGCAATATAAAGATCCTAAGTTTAATTGTGATCAAATCAAAATAGTGATCTGGCACCAAGAAAATTGTGGCGTTAATCCTTGGCATATTGCCCAGGCTTAACTAGGTTCTGACAGTCCCTTGATAGGTTAGATTGTTGCTATAGTGTCTTACTGGAGGCGTGTCTCTTGATGGTCGCCTGCTGCTCGGTCTTCTCGGAGCCTCTGGAGGAAAAAGAGGCAGTGCGTCTCACCTGAGCACCTCTGTCTGCGTCCTGAGGGAAAAACAACACAAAAACACTTTACATAACAATTAACTACTGTCAGAACAGCCCCACAGAGCATTCCCTAATCACACTGTCAACTTCACTCTGGCTACTTTTCAACACAAGTGCCACGCTCAGGGAGGAGGGAATATTTCATTCTCATTATTGCTGATTTTCAAATCACATCACAACATTCTAAAGACCAATACTAAGTAATACAGCCATGTGCCAGTTGAAGTAAAACATGATAAAATACAGATTTTTGTAGGAATATTGCTACAATCTGGCACACATTTTTATTTTTATTAGGTTAATGTTTATTTACATTGCCCCTGAACAAAACCAATATCTTTCCAATGGCTAATTCTAAAATGAACCTGTTAGCAACACCAGCCCCTTTGCGGATAAGGTATTAACATAATGTAAGCGTTGTGTACCTCGATGCTCTCGTAGACCTCGTCATACGTGCGCGAGTCTGTGGAAGCGCTGCTGGATGAAGCTGCAGCGTTGGTCGCCCACCTGAGACCCAATCAGACAAAACATCCATATGAGCTGTTGTACAAGCTGCTGTCTGTTAAGAGAGCTTTAGACAGCCTCTCCACAAGATAACGCAGATTACACAGATTCAGTATGCACTTGTTTTCCAGTGCGAAATATTCAAGTGGGCCTGTCAGATGATCATAACATCCCTTCTATACTATATCAGCAATTGTACTGAATTAAAGGTACTGAATACAGATGTGTCTCATATCTCAGAAAACCAAATGTGAAGTAATCAAGTAATTTCACATTTTCATTTCACATTTTTTTGTTTTGCTTCTCAAACATACATACATATATAGAGTACTTAAATACATAGCCAATTATCCAGAAAGAAACAGAGGTCATAATACCATATTTAAACCCATAGGTGCTCATTCTGTATGCTGTGCCTTTAATTTTAGTAATGTTTAATTAATTACATGGTTACACATCCTTTGTGGTACACAATATTTAAATGTCTACATTGTGAAAAAAGGTATTCAACAAATACAATTACAAAAATACCACAACTACTTTTTCACATAAGCCAATTTTGAGAACCAAAACTACTGCATTTGAGATTGCAATGAAATTTCTATTACAACTAAGAAGGTCATACAACACATGTTAATATAAGAGTACGAACAACTAAAATAAAATAAAATAAAATAAAATAAAAACATTGGTGCACATAAAAACTTACTTTTCAAAGATGTAGCAGCTTAAAAAGTATTGAAGAAAATATAAAGGTAAATTATTGTTTTATGAGAAAAATTAGTAAAATATGAGTCAAATACTGAAAATTGAAGTCCTGATAGTAAAACTGAATGTAGTTGGCTGAGACAGAGGAGCAGACTCACAGGAAGGAGTGGCGGGCTGCGTGCCGTATGTCTGTTAACGTGTCCACGTCGATGTAGTCATAGTGCAGCTCCTCTGGCAGAGTGGACCTCCCTGTCTCTGCAAATAACACGCCCAGCCAACGCCCCAGGTCCTCAGAGCAGCTGGCCTGAGGGGGGACACAGAGAGAGGAGAGGGTGAGGGGGGTGAGGCCATGTCTGCTGAGAATGAGGTAATACTCTGTGATATACTAATGTAAGAAATGGTAAAGATAAATATGTCAGAATTACATGGAAGAAGCAGTAGTGGAAGTAATGGAGTTAGTAGTATAGAAGTAGTAATTGGAGTAGTAGTTGTATTGGCCGATTTTGAATATAATTGTTGTATTAATTATTGGCATCTATGTTTGTTTAATTTCATTATTGATCAAAGAAATAATTGGTGGAAAAAAGGGTTATAGGTGCACTATGTAACTTTTGCAGTAGAGGGTTAATGTTTTTCCTGGAATAGTACACAGTATGGCATTAAGCTAACATATCTTATAGATCTCACCTGAACTTTCTCCTGATGGCATCACCCGAGATAAAGTATTTTAATGTCATAGTGTGGAATATTCTAGGCAAAGCAATAACATCTCTATGGAGACAAGCAAGTAACGTATCCTCCGCCACAAAAGTTAAACAATACACTTTATGTATGAATAAATATGTTGGCTTAAATTAAAGAATACTGAAATATGGCCTTTGAAACATTATATATCGATATATATTAGTTTCACATTTCTGGTACCTCGAGTGAAGCCAGCTCGCTGCCTGACTGCAGGATGCGGAAGGAGAAGGGGTGTTTGGGCCCGAGGCCTCCAGGCACCACCTCTGCCCCCTTCAGAGGAACCACTTGCACCGGGGCTGCCCTGTCCCCCGGATCTCTGTAGAAGTACAGTTTACCTCCACGCAGTATACACCAGCGCTCCCTCCACACGCAGTTCACACATGTACTCAGATAACCTATCAGGAGGAAACAGGGGAGACTGGACTTAATAAGACAGCAACACATCAATTCTTTATGGTAATTGAGCTGCTTTTCTACGGTTTTAAACATATGCATTTTGAATTAGCATCAACACTCTCCTTAAGGTAAAAACGACAGATGAAATGGTGTGCACAGTGAAGCTTAAATTGATGACTCCAAAGTTTAAAGGCGATATATTATGTCAAATAAGCTTTTATCAATCCTGTTTTCATGAATCTAACATCAGAATCCAGACTAATTCTTTCTACAGGATAAACAAAAGATTAAGATGACTGTCTCGACTTTATCTTATCTCAATATTTCCCCATAACATTTAAAAGCAGACCCACCTCTCCTCTAATGACTCAAACCTCTATAACTGTCACTTTAGTTACACGTATAGCAGCTCCCAAAGGTGCTAACTGTGGGTGCTAACAGAGCGCGCTGATTGGCTCTCACCACAGCGGGGGTTGTCATGGTGACCCGTGGCAGAGGAGGGGGGGTCTCCGGGGGGCGGTCGGCGTTTGGAGAAGGTGATAATCCGATTAATTTTCCTCCCCGCTGCTCGACTCATGGACCCAGTGAGCTCAGAGAAGGCTCCTCTCTTCCCCCTGTCTGTGGCACAAACGCACACAATTAGATCAACACAAAGAAGACACACATGAGCTACTGTGGAGGGAGCTGGAGATGTACTAGTAGCTTATCAAGTGTGGGAGAATCTATTTGTCCAGTTATTCTTTTATAGTAGGACATAGAATGAAAAATAACTATAGGGAGAGTGGAAAGACCAAGACATAGAGATAACATAAATAGTGTGAAGACATCATTCATATAAGAACTGTCCCAATACATTCAGTATTCACTCGTAGTTCTCCTAATGATTTTTATGCCTCTTCTTTTGTATGTATTTATTTATTCATCCATGCATTATGTATGTATTGTATGTTATTGTATCTTTGTATTATTATTATTATTATTATTATTATTATTATTATTGAAAGTTGATAGTTATAGTTATTATTATAAGTAAAAAATGATAGTTTTCCTTAATTAAATTAAATTTCAATCAAACAGGAAATTGATTTGGTCCAAATTTCATCAAACCAATTTCAAAAATTAAAAAAATCTGTCATTATTTGTCATCATCTTTCAAGATTTGTTAAAAACTAAATCTCAAAATACATCTAAACCTTGTTCATTAAGTTATTTCTTTGTCAATAAACATACAAATTGTACAACTGAATTAAATAGATCAGATGAATGGATTATTCTTTCATGACTTCATTTGCAATTTATCATATTTAAGGTTTTATTTGATTTATTTGATGTAAAAGCTGGCTAAAGAAGCAATTACAAAAACTGGAAGTGCAAGCAAAAGTTACCATGGTAAGAGTTCAAGATGTATTGATATAATTACTAACTATATTATTATTTATAGATACATATGATGTCTTTAAACACAGTTTTGGGCCCATTTTATGATTGCTCCTACAGTATTTGAGCTTACACATGTGTCGGATACGGTCCTGAGCAACTTCCTGTGATGTCACAGGGACACAAAGCCAGGAAGTGGACAGGAAGGATGTCATATCTGCGTGTGGCTCACTTCCTGTCTCTCTCCACTCATGTGACAGTAAACAGGCTGCAACTGCTCTAAAACAACAGTTATACGCTCAAGCTAAACATTTATCCTTCCTGATTTTGTGGATATGCAAAAAAAATATGACCTTAATCATATTTTTGTAAATGTCCATGTATAGATTCTGAACTACAATCACATGGCACTGCATTTTGTTTACATGCACATTTGAGGCCTGTTTCAGACAGCGCTGCTTATTGTATTTAATTGTAAAAGTTGTTTGTAGAAGTCACAATACTTCCTGAGATGAACATGGTGAATAATGGGAGCTGCTGGCCTATTTACAGTATACTGTAGTTGTGTAAATAAGAGATGGAAAAACTATGCAAACTAGGACACGCACAATGTAACCACACAATGCCCAATATAGTGTTTGGCATGGAGACAGAACTACTGAAAAATGTTTTGTGTATTGTCCCAAGATGCCAAGGACCAAATGAGGACCAAAGACACAAAGCATATAGGGACTGGGATGAACAAAAATAACTTAAAGGTGCACAGTGTCACTTTTCCGGAGGGTCTGCCACTTGCTTGTGCATGGAGATATCATTGCTTTGCCTGGAAAATTCCACAGTATGACAATAAATTCACCTCATCTCTACGGGTACAAGCAATAGATATGATCTACAGTATACAGAAGTGATCAAGCTCACACTGAGTAAAAGAATAAATACAAGATATATGAGATTACAAGCAATAAAAACTCCATGGAGACAAGAAGTTGGCAGAGCCCCTGTTGTGCATCTTTAAATAAACTTTTATTTTAACTGTATAAGTATTGTGTAAAAAGTGTATCCGATACTTAAATCAATAATACTTTTACGTTGAATTTTGGTCATGTTTCTAGCCTGTTAAACTATTATTTTTGCTCGCTTCACACCAGGAATGTTCACTATCAGATTGTGGATTGAATCATTATGCAGACTTGTCTAGGCATGACAAATTCTGCCCAACACAAAAAACACTATATTGCTCCATCCAACATTATCTAGAGGTCAACTGACAGATTCCAGTTTAGGGTTGTCAAAAAACCAAATACTAATCAAAAACTTAAAACTAGACATTAATTTAACATGGGTATTAAACATATATAAACATGACAGAAAATATATATTGTATGATGGTTTTAGATGGGTCCTATATCAGCTCTAGTGTAAAAGCATGTATTAAAATGTAATAATCTACTGATATTTGATGTATCTAAATAAATGTTTTTAATGATCGATGTGGTATGAAAATCAGTATCAAGCCTTATCCAAAAATCAGTTTGTAATTTAGTATAAAGACAAACCTTCTCCAGTTGTCTCCCAGTTGCTTCCTGTTTACCTACTTTGACCATTAAAAAGATTGAATATTGTAATTTGAATTGTTAATTACTAAGCCAACAGTGCAAAATTTCCATCATTAAACATCTGTCGCCATCCCTTAAACTATAAAATGACATTTAAAATCCCACATACTTAGTGAGTCTGTGCTGTTGTCCCGGCCCGGTCCCAGGGTTTGACTGTCTCCCGTGGGGCCGCTGTCTGAGTCGGAGGCCTGTTTGTCTGAAAGCATCACCTGAACGAGAAGGAAAAAAGAAGAAGAAGAGAAGGAAAAGAACAGATATTTTTACACAGAGCAGCAGACTGACTGTACCAGCCTTAGACAGCACTATGTTGTCAGACTAACACTTCTAGTTACTTGAAGGAAAAGCAGGTAGTGTGTTGAAAACTATTCTCGGTGAGGTGTTAAATATTGCATAAGTGTCACCGAGTCACAGTGCATTTAGCTGTATGGGTATGCTTTGAGTGCAGAGCGTTTAGGAAAAAAGGAAAAAAGCACCAACTCAGCAACTGGCTCCAGCTCATGGGGCTTGTAAACCAGGAGCTACAGGAACAATTGTGTCATGTGTGACTTTAAGAGATGAAGTCAGGCTAGTTTAACACGTCAGGACAAGGAAGAAAGATATAAAAATCAAGTTATTAAACAGGTTTTGGAGAGAGTCACGAATGAGTAGTATTAAAGACTTATTAGGTCAGTTTCTGAGTTTTTCTAGGAATTTCTCCCATGAATGTCCCTACTATGTCTGCCAACCACACGCACATTTGTGAGGTTTTGAATAGTGAGTATGCATGCCATCATGAACATGGGCTATTAGCAGCATGCTGAGTAGTTGTCTGAATCAGAATTTCTTTTCTCATCCCCAACAGGAAATTATATGCGAGGGTACACGGAACATTTTAATAGTTTTTGTCAAGCATAGAAAAATAATACTGATTGAGAGAAAGATTCAAAATGACTTGTGCTGTTTTGTGCATTTACACTTTTTTTCAACTACCATTTTCCCTAAAACTGCAAGCACAAAACAAAATTGAAATGTGCTTATTGAGCAATTGAAATGGCAAAATACTGTATTACCACACAGTGTCCCCAGTTTCACTCCCCGTTTAGCACTAGTCATAACCTGTCTTGCTGTAACCTGTTCTGTTGTGTGCCTGAAGCAAACATTCACAACAATAGTTTTGATTTTGCAATGTGTTCGAGTTTTTTTGTGCCAGAAACTGAACCTCTCATAGTAATCCCCAAAATGTTGAAATATTCGATACAACTGAGAGTAAAATATGTAGAAAATGTAATGTAAAATTATATCAGTAAAATCTTCTGTGTAATATCTTTGCATGTCAGTTACAAATAACGTGTTTTGTCATAGTAACCCCTTAATTCAAGATATTTGAGGTTTCATAATAGGGTCAGTTTTTGTGGCACTGATCTCATTGACTCCAAGTTTGTGGTCAGAGATTTTGTCACGATTATCTGTCTATCTTTGCCTATAATAGATGTTCCACTAAAACTTGAATCAAACCTTGTCTATCTCCAGTTTCCTCTGTATAATCGGCGATGTGGAGCCATCCAGGTTGTCTGTGTTGCTACACTGGCTGCCGACGTCCTTCACCACCTGGACACACGAGTAAGAGTCACATTAAGGGCCTTTGATGGTGCACTGTTTCGTCTGATGCTCCAGGCTTTGATTGGGTGAACAAACAGACCTTGAGCCAGCGCTGGGCCTGCTCTTTGCTCTGCACAGCCAGCACCAAAGCCTCCCCCCCGGGCAGAGAGAAGCGAAGTTCATGCCTCTTTTTGCGTCCCTCCTTCGGGACGTAGATGACGTTGCATAGGCTCAATGGGAGCTCTGTGTTCGGTGTGCTCTCTTTGATACTTTTAAAACACTATAAAAAAATAAAGATCATTGTATGTTAGAGAAGGATGTAGTAGTGGGATTGGCATTGACAATGTTATTCAAATGATTTGACTATTTGCGCATCGTAATAAAATCTATATATAAAATCTACATGTTCAACTAAAAAGCCTAACAGTTGTCCGATTACTTTATTATCATTATGTCAAAAAGTCAAGAAATTAAAGAGGCGGGTTTGTTCTGGAAGATGATTTGATCTTAAATGATCACAACAGGGCTAGTAATGGTCTGGCTCTAATAATACATTAAACTGAGAAGGAGGGCACCATTCCAAAACATATTTTTTACATTATCAAATTAGGGGAGTACACTATGTACATTTTCTGATGAAGAGTCCACCACTTTCTTCTGTCTAAGCCAAGTTACATTTCAGAGTCCAAGTCCACATACAGCAAGAATGCATGTTTTTTTTTTTTTTTAGTAAAAACGATAATACAAATCAATAGATAGAGTTTAATGTCACACTATTAAATATTCTGTTCATGCACATGTTTTTGTACAGCCTCTGGTTCTTTTTACCTGTAGCTTATTATCCCGGACCACCACCAGCTGTTTGGTCCACTGTCCGAAGCGCTTCTTTCTCATGAGGAAGGCACAGATCCTGCAGTCTCTCACCGGCTCCTCTGGACTCTCCTCCGCCGTCCATGTTTGGGGTCTTTCTCGCCCTTTGGCCTCCTCTTCTTCCTCCTCGTACGACTCATAGGAACTGCTGAGTGCGTCTGAGTCATTATCTAACAGCACAAATAATGATGAGTAATTAACAAGGCGTTTATACACAGTTCCTGATACCTTTTAGTCACTACTTTGGTGACTGGGATTACATTTTTCACACTAAGAACTTGTAAGAGAGTTGGCTACAAGTGCGATGTGAAGGAAACTCAAATCAACAGTACTTAATAAGGACAAAACAGTTAAGGAGTTTAGTGGAACTTTTCAGATTTGATAAAGCTAAGGTCTAGAGTAATAAACACTGTAGATGTAGATTGCAGCATTGGATTGATCTAGGGACTAAATCAGGAATAAGATATGAGTAAATAAAAATTTTAGATAGAAACTCCAGTAAAACTAATTTGGTTTTAAGCCATCACCAAAAAGAACAAAATTTGTGTTAAACTAAAATGAATCTAGAACCAGGACTAAAATCTAGGGCAGAACACATGTGGAGATGAGTATTCCAGCGTAAACCAGGACTCAAGTACAGCTCCATTCCCTTCTTCTTCTGCTTCTACTTCTACCACAGTTTGCACCAGTTTGAAGATGTATAATTGATGACTAAATGTAGTTTTTACATGAGTTTTTTGGGGGCCCGTTCATCCTGGTGGTGGGGTAGTTGTTGTCTGCGTCCTCATAGTAAGCATCCTCCTCAGAGTTCCTCGAAGCTACAATGAAATGAAAGATTGATAAGAACAAAAAAAAGGAAAGAAACTCTGAATAATTTAACCGTTGAATTGGCAAAACACTGCTGAATGAAGATGATACTGTGTTTCTGGGTAAAGGAAACTGATAGAAATGTTTTAATATTAAAGTTATAACATCATAGACATAGTATTAAGTAAGGTAAACAATACAATAAACGTACAAAATATATACTGTATATCTATTATACTAGATATTACTTAAAGGTGCACTGTGTAACTTTTTGGTTGAGGTCCGTCACCTTCTTATTTCTATGTATATGTCATTGGAACAGCTCCACCTTGAATTTATTCAATTACAGGCATTTCTATAGCTCAAAAATTAATTAATTAATTAAAATAGAAAAGCAGGCATTCTGACTGTGAGCGGACTTGCCTCTCCACAGGTATGACCTGTAACTTCGTCTAGTTTAGTCTCCATGAAGGTAGAAAGGTTTAACACCATCCACTGTAAAACATTTCAGACAAAGTAATAACAACTCCATGGAGAAAAGTGTTTGACGGACGCTCCATCAGAAAAGTTACACTATTCACTTTTAAGACCAGTAGAATGGTTCTATTAAGTAAGTGCTTTAACATCAAATCATGATATTTCTGATTTAAAATGTTTCAAATTAGTCCAAATTAATAATGAAATTTGACCAATTTTGACAGATACTGATGAATATTATATACAGCTAGAAAAGGTGGCAAGTCATAACTGCCAACAACAATAAGATGCGATCACGATGCTAAACAATGCAAACTAAAAATGCTTACTAACAGCATCTTACCCGACCTTTTCCACTCATCTCAATGCATAAAAACTTTTAAATGGAAAGTGTCCCTGTGCTGTTATGAGTTAGCTGATCTGAGATGACTTTCACCCTCCTTTCCCAAGTGAGGCTAATAGTCAGAGTTTGTATTTTCAGATGTAAACTGACTGAGCATGTTGGTGGTGAAGTACTGTGGGTTGGAGCCGGGCTCAAGGGGGACGGCCTCTTCGTAGTAGTCATCGGGAACAGGAGTGGTGGGTAGAGGAGGGGGGGTATCGGTGGGAGTCTGAAAAAATCCCAAAAGAGTTTCAAAGTGACAGTAACATGAACATGGCAGACCACAAATGGAAGAGTTCGGCAACTTACGGATTTATTTGGATGAGTCTTCTCCTCTTCCTCTTTTAAAAGGTCGATGGGGGAGGGAGTGAGCAAGTCACAGTCTGAGAAATATGTCAGAAGAATGTTCATTAAATAGTTGTCAATGGTCACATTTTTTTTATATAGGGCTTTTCCACCTTCAAGGCAGTCAAACGCTTTATATTAAGGAACCACTCACCCATTCACACACACACACAGCAGAGTACGCAAACACTGGGGCGAGGTGGGTTAAGTGTCTTGCCCCAGAAGACAACAAGAGCATTCATCTGTGAATCTCACTGCTCTACCACCGATGTCTTAGCCTGATTCATCATTTGTTTCACTTAATAGAAACCGTCTGACCTCGCAGCATTAGGATTCGTTCGCTCTACAGTTGGTGGGTACTTTTTAAAATTTAACCAATCCCTACTATTTGGTCGTGACGTATCTAACAGGCTAACAGGGCAAACAGGTATATTAAGCTTTTCCCAAATCCTGTAGGAAGAAGGGCAATAATGTCTTTCCCCTTGATAAAATTCACCAAACATTCTCTTTGTTCTGGCTTTGAATCCTTGATTTCGGGAATCGCTGCCAACACAGAATGCATGGCTCTTCGCTGATTGGCTGGTGCCCAGACTTGCACTTCTGCGGTTCTTGCAAACTTTCTAATGTATTCTGATTCCATAGTTGCTGGAGAGAAATGAAATTGAGCGGAGGCACTAGGTGGCGCCAGCCTGGCTACCGATGTCCAGGTCAAGAGCAGGATTTGAACTGCCAACCTACAGATCAGTGAACAAACACTGTACCAACTGAGCTATTGTCGCCCATAATAAAAGCTTTTAATTATAATTTTTGACCAAACTATAATGGAAAGATGATATAACTGATTTAACTTAGAAATAGAAGAGTTGATGTAGAATAGATTTCTAGCAGTCTATTTGGAGTTTTGAGTTGCCTATTTATAGGTGCCATTTTGAGGACCACTCAAAAGATAGAATATTTTGTTTTGAATTGTTAATTGCCATGGCACTGGTCCTGTGTGACTGTGTGTGCATTATTAATTAGTGGTGGTCAGTCATAGAGGCACCATTGAGAGTGAAAACTGACTTGCACCATTTGGTTTCACATCGGCTGTTGTAACATACTGTGCTGTATAAATAAAGTTTGATTTAAGTTTTGATTTCATCAGTAGGGTAAAACTAACCTGTCTCACGACGGTCTAACCCCAGCTCACATTTCCTATTAGTGGGTGAACAATCCAAAATGGCTCTACCAGACAAATGTTGTTAAAATATATTTGAGTCTTCTTACCAATCTCCTTCACTTTGCCAAATATAGTGCACACATTATTGCTCTCTTCAATCACAGACCTAATCTCACTCTGATGATCTCTGGACTCACCGAAATCCTCGAAGAGCGACTCCACGAAGCTTGTGCCGTTTCCATAGAGACAGCTGTTCATGTAGACGTCTGAGCCATTGACTGTGGACAGGATAAATGAGGGTTAAAAATAGGATGGAGGCCGAAGGGTTAATATCAGGATCACCGTTGTCAGTGAACGGAGCTGCAGAAAATACAACAGTGATGATGCCTTAATCAAACAGCGCACCGACCGAGCACATTTCTCATTTCAGACATTTTAATTACATCAGATAACATTAAAAGTGTCTGCGAGGTAATGGAAAACAACACTGATTTATGGCCTGTCTAATATGGATTCTTCTTTGCATGACACAGCGTTAACTTGGAATTGTGAAAACTGGGACAAATACAACTACATCTGCAGGTAGTGCTGTTGCTGTTTCCTTGCTATTTTTACTTCTTATTTTGAATTTATTATTACTGTTCATATTTTTGCTCTTTGTTATTATAATATATTCTGATGTTTGAGCTTCTCTGTCCAAATAATTTCCTTTGTGGGGAAAAATCTAAGCATTACCAAGCAAAAATTACCATTGCTGTTACTACACCTTATTTCTGTTTAATTAACTGCTACAGTGGCTGCTGCTACAAGAAGTAATTACTACTGACTCTAAAACTACTAAAATTTTTATTGCCATTGCAGGTAAGTTTGGTCTCTACATTTCATTCATTGATCTTTCAGTGTCACTAACAATTTTGTCACATTACAAAAAAATTCTATTTCAAATTTCAAAAAAGGCTTGATATAGAAAACTGATTTCAATACCACACTAAAAATTAAAACACAATTTTCATCAAAGATCAAAGACCATTTAAAACAAGTTGATCTTATTTATGCAATATTCTCAGTATTAATACTTTTTCAAATGAGTATCAAGTTTTGATCCTAGTTTAAATTATTCAATCAGTCAGATTTTTTGATAATCTTAGTTCCTTGGTGAAGCTATATAAAGTAGCTCCAGAGACCCATGTCCAGATCGTATTGACGAGGATTGCGGTCAGTAGGCTAGAACTTATATTTATAGTAAGATCAGTATAATATTTATGTTTACACTTTCTACCAGTCTGAAAATATAACCCGACATTAACTGCTTCTCCCATAATTACTTAAGTTCTGAATTTTCCCAAACCGCCCTAGAGTTATTATTATTTCTTATCTTGAGCACTTTTCTCATTACAGACCATAGATGTACATCTGATAACATGTCATATTGTCTACAAGGTAATAAAAACAACCCAATTACAATGTTTTCTCTGAGTCTGATTTGAGATTATTACAGGTATAAAAAGTGCAGTGGATTATACTAAGCCAGTGTCTGACGCCTGAGTGAGCAGTGGTCTCATTGACAAACAGTCATGAGAAGAGGAGATGAGTTGTGTCTCTCCTTTACTTTGACCTCCTTCTCTGATCCGATTTAAAGTTTACAATTCATTATCCTCTTACAGAAATCCCTTTATCCCGTCGACATACCAGAATCCACTGATAAATAAACAACACAGACCCTACACACATCTCACAAGAATATTAACCTGGCATATGAGTGTGATTTTTGTTAATTCGCTGGTGGAGATAATATAGCCAATTACGTGATTAGCAATGACACTTTGGAGGGATTTTCAACTACTGGGTGTTTAATACAAATTGAAACTGAATACGCGGCAATTAAATGATCTAATTATAGAGTAAGCCTTTACCTCAGATAGGAGGCAGATACTCTCCCTTCTTTCTCGTCATCTTGTCACTTTCAATTAGGCAAATATGATCTATTTAAATTATATATTTGTAAGTACCAGTAGTAGTATATTTGGAAAAGGTCAGATGATACAAAAACAAAAGAGAAGTCTCGATATTGTAGTAATATAAGAAAAGAAAATATTGGCCATTTGACATATTTCCTCAAACCTTGACTAATCCTTCTGACATTTACTTTAGAGACAGCTCAGTTCTGTTTCAAACTCAAAAATTTCTGGTGTTTCTGGTGTGCGGAAAGTGCAAAAGTGGTTTCTTGGCACAATATTTCTTAATAATAAATAACTACCAGGTTTGAGAGGTTTATAATTATTATATTATTTATTATTTTTATTTATTTAGGTGCACTGTGTAACTTTGGTGAGGGAGGGTCCACCACCAGCTTGTCTCCACAGAGATGTTAGTGCTTTGAAGGGTATGTTCCATAGTATGAAATAAAGCATATCTATTTCCATGATAACAGACAAGGGACGCCAAGTTACAAGTCAGATCTGTGGACATGTTACACCGCTTACAGTATGATGCATGCTTTTCATTGAACTTATGAACAATACAATACAAAACACCTATTATTATTATTGTATTAAATGTAAGATTTAAGTTTAATACTGTTATACTATGGGACATTCAAGGCAAAGCAATAACATCTCCATCTCCACGGACGTCCATCACAAAATTTACACAATTCACCTTTAATACAAATAATCAGGGGTGTAACGATATCCAAGTCTCACAATACTGTATTGTAACGGTATGATATTTATTACAATATTTTGTGGAGGCTAACAAAATTGTCAATATGCTACTTTTTCCTCTTAAAATGCTTTGACAAGACTTATTCTAAAGAACTAAGATTTAAAAGACTTAGAACTGTTATTACCTCCGCCAAGGAGGTTATGTTTTTGCCTGCATTTGTCTGTCTGTTTGTTTGTTTGTTTGTTTGTTTGCCTGTTAGCAACATAACTCAAAAAGTTATGGACCGATTCTGATGAAATTTTCAGCATTTGTTGGAAATGTGAAAAGGAAGAACTGATTTCATTTTGGGGGTGATCCGGAAGAAATCCTGGATTCTGGATCACTTTGAAATTTTAGTTAACATTGTGGTAAATGGGGCCAAAAATTTTGTTTCTCAATATCTCGGTTAATTATTGACCAAACCCCATGAAATTTGACTCAGGGATGGACAATGGGATCCTCTTTCATATTCCAAAGGCTGATCCGGATCTGATCCAGAAGACTGATTTTATCGCAATTTATATAAAAAATGGGGGTAGTCCTTGGCGGAGGTCTGCGCTCTCTGAGTGCTTTTCTAGTTTCTTCTTGTAGTCTGCACTAAAATGGAGCAAAGGATCATGGTTAATGTAGTTCCCTCTGTCTTCGCTCTGCTGCACCATAACTGTTAATTTAAGCAAAGAGACTTGTAATTCGATATATTGTGATGGTCCACGGTATTATTCTGAGAACTTTGATGATACAATATCACAATATTTCGGTTATTGTTACATCCCTATAAATAACACATACTGATAATACCAGCCTATTCAAAATGCTCATAGAAAAGTATATTTATCTTCAGAACCGTCACATATTCTGAACATGTCATTCCAATCTAATAGAGTAGCTGACAGTGTAAGATCCGTTTCATGGACACATACCGGACAGCTGCACCGACTCCAGGAGGTTTCGTACAGAGTTCATCTTGTCTGCTGTGGCTGGACTCACTGCTTCCTGGTCCAACATTTTCAACAAAACACTCAGTTCATTCACCAGGCGCTCCATCAGAACTGAAAACACACAAAATGAAAGGCAATAAAATACGACGCAAAAATCTCAAATTTTCTGGTCTGCCACCTGCTTGCCTCCATGGTGATGATATTGTTGTAATGTTTCACAGTATGGCATTACACTCATTTATTTTGCCCTTCTGGTGTGGTTGTCCCTCCACAGATCTGACCTATGACGTGGCCTGTTGGCGTCATCTGTTTGACTCGATGGACATAGATAAGTTTAAAGGTGCATTGTGTAACTTTTCTCCATTGAGATGTTATTGCTTTGTCTGTTGAGTGTTTCACAGTATGGCATTAAACCTTTCTGTGCTCATGGCGACCAAATCAAATCAAGTTACAGGTCAGATCTATGGAGAGGCAAGACTGCTCACAGTCACATTGCCAGTTTTTCTAGGTATTTGTGAGTCATAAAACCATCTGTAATTGAATACATGTAAAGTAGAGCTGTTTAATGTCATACTGTGGAACATTCCAGGCAGAGCAATGACATATCCATAGAAACAAGCAGGTGATGGACATCCAAACAAACAGTTACACAGTGCACTTTTAATGTCATACTGATAAACATTCCACGCAAGTCAATAACATCTCCACGGAGACAAGCAGAAACGTTACATAGGGCATCTTTAAGAATTGAGAATGCATTACAAATTAGGCGAGTCATTTGGATAATGTTCCTTAATAGCTCTAAGTTAAAGCATGTGTGTATCTCAGTGCCGCGCCTGTTGCAACAGCTGACAGGAAGCAAATTCTTACCATCCCATAACGTTCTATTTATTTGCCCACCATTTTATTTATTGTTTCATTCAATTCAGTACAAGGCTTCAACAGCAGCTGGCTACTAACTTCATTTCTCCGATGCTACATGCTGTCTGCACGTTTGTGAGTAAGAGTTGTTGACTTTGACAATAGTCCAGGATCTGGGACACATCCTGCCTGTGTCCTGGCTGAGATCCGAGCACGAGGGGGAGATAGGGGGTGGGGCTGCTTCCTTCCACAATTGTAACTAATGCCAAAGAAAAGTGTCTGTAGATTCACTTGAAATAGTGTTAGAAAATGGACGCACTCATTCATAGCTGTAGTCTGGGAATGTAAAGAGATAAGAAAGATCTGCCCTGCTTTGACCTTTTCAAGAATGTTTTTATACGGCAATATATAAACTTAAAGGTGCATTGAGTAACTTTTCTGGTGGAGGGTCTGCCACCTATTTGTCCTCATTGAGATGTTATTGCTTTGACTAGAATGTTTCACGGTAGAGATTAAATCCATTGACCGTAAGGGAGGCAACTACTAGCTATATTACAGGTCAGATCTGTGGAGAGGCAACCCTATTCACAGACGGAATTACTGTATTTTTGAGCAATAGAAACACGCATAATGAATCAATGCTAGATAGATGTGTTTAATGTCATACCATGGAACAATCCAGGAAAAGCGATAACATCTCCACGGAGACAAGCAGGTGACACCTTTTACATCTCAATTTCATTCAGGTATTTTTGTGTAGCCCAAAATCAAAATACCATTTGCCTCACAGAACTTCAATCCCTGTATCATTCGTTCATTCATTTTTCAAAATAAAACCAAAAATAAGAAAATGAAAAAGAAAATGAAATGAAAAAAAGGATAGCGATTCGTTTTTTCAGTTTTTGATTTTGTGTTTAAATGATGTGTTTCCGTGATTTAAACTGCGATGCCAGACTTTTGCTCCGCATACGGACTGAACCAGGACTGAGACCGGGACTGAGGCCGGGACTGAGACTGGGACCAGATCAGAACCAGACTGGGACTGAGACCGGGAATGAGACTGGGACTGAGGTCGGGACCAGACTGGGACCTGACCGGGACTGAGACTGAGACCTGGTTTAGTCCTGGTCTCAGTCCTGGTCTGGTCCTGGTTTGGTCCTGATCTTAGTCTTGATCACTGGACAGTCTACGTGGGCGCACCTCCAAGCCTGTCCTGTTTTAGTCCTGGTTCAGTACTGGTTTAGTCCTGGTTCATTCCATATGCGACGCAAAAGTCCGGCATCGCAGTTTAAGTGACGAAAACTGCAAACAGCTGTTACCAGTTTTTTCATTTTGGTTTTGGAGACAAATAATGAAGAAAATAGTTGCTTTTTCGTTTTTGTTATTTTTGGTTTTATTTTGAAAAACTAATGAACGAATGATACACGTATTCACTTAACAAAATTGTTGATTTAATTCAACCAATAGAAAGCAGCAATGAAATCCTTAACGCTTGTACATTTTTCCTGTTTGCAACTTCAACTATATATTATAATTCCATATTTCAGTTATCAAACCAGCTAAAATCTTCTTCGATGGAAAGATCATTTGTTATTACCTTGAACTGTCTGTAGTTTTAATATTGTTAGCATATTAGTCTTCCAAACTCATCCTAAAACTTCAAAACTCATAAAAGTCAAATGTAGATTTTATTGTCCCCAAACGACCTACATATCCCCAATACTAGGAACCACATTTTCAGGAAACATGAATTCTTTATTGTTTTTGGCTTGAGAAAATGCTGTGATGTATTTGTCGACACACAGAGTTCAAGTTCAAAGACACACTCGAGGTCTGAGCTCAGAGACCGTAAACTGTTTATTTGAACCACTGTGGACTACAGCGAGAAACTATTTACTTCCACTTTGTGTAAATCACTGGAGACCTAAGCCTCTTTTTGAAGCGTGTTTGCAGCTAATTACTTCCACTTAGATTAATTTAGATTAGATTTGGGATGTTTATTACTTGCACCGCAACACTTTGTAAAATATACTTTGTAAAGTTCGTTTTGGTTGCTCTGCATAAACTTATGCTACGTCATTGCCAGTGATTTCTGCGTACCTCGAAGCCACATCAAATCAAAATGGAATGCTTATTTGTTATCGTATAGAGCTGAAAAATGTTCTTCAAAATTAAACTGTGAAATATGACTTGTAATTCATCTCAGAGTTAGAGGGAAGGCCGATGAAAAATGAACTTCGAAACTGAATCCCACATTTCAGAACACGTTTGCGGAAATCTAAACTACAGAATACAAGTTTTATGGTAAGACACCATAAAGACAGAAAGATTTTGTTCTCTAAAGTCAAAATACAAGCTTTATAATTGTAGTTTTTGCAATTCTCTAACAGCACATTTTCAGTTTGATTGCATCTAATCTTGCAGTTCTATTTCAATGAGAATATAAAATAAAACAAAACTCCTTTCCAGCCAAAGTCCTGCTAAAACCTGGATGGACTCCCAGGCTTGTAAATTACTTACACGAAACAATATTGTGTAGCTATCTCACTGACAATAATAAAAAAGTTTGTAAACAGACAAAAACAAAATGATACTTAAAGCTTCTGTAATGAGATTGGCAGACCTGGTCCTGTTGTAATTCTCCCATAACACCACTAGAGGCTATCTACGTTACTGCTGTTTGATAGTTTAGCCAGACAGGAGAAGACAAGAAGAGGCCTGTCATAATAATTACTTTCGCATACATTCTCTTTGCAATAATGGTCAATTTTTTGTTATTTTTGTTGTAATACGATAAGTAACTTTTATGGCTTCATTCTGCGATTTATTTGTTGCAGCTCATGCCTTTAAATGATTTCTCTTTAGTAATATATCGTGCTTCGAAATGTGTGGTCATTACAGGTCTAGAGGTCATATCTGCCATCTACTGGTGAAAAAAAACTCAAGCTTTAAGAAATAGAAACACTTTGGCTAAGTTAATGAGTAAATTAGCTCTATAGGCCCTGGTCTGACCTCTTTAATTTCTCACAGTGATCTGATGTGGCCCGTCTATACAGAGGTGTCAATGTGCTAAATGTGTCCAGAGAAACACAATCTGGAGACACATTTGTTGTCGGCCCGAGACCCGCCCTGTGCTATTTAAACTCTTAATCAAGCTGGTATTTAACTATGAGCCTCTGCTACACTGTCGGCATTGGGATCGTGTTTTTATCTTTATTAGAAATTTGGAAATGTGAACAGGGTAAAGGGTAGGCTATTTATTACCATTATATATACACATTTAAAAAAAAATGTTTTTACAAATTGCTTTCTTTAATGTATGGAGCTCAACGGTGACAGCCCACCCCATGGTTCTGGAACTAAATTTGTCATTAATTTTTCTCGTAGACTTCACAAAAATAAAAAAGTATATTAAAAGTTTGAAAGCTTGCTCAGGGATAATCAGCTAAATGGTAACTAATGACCACAAGATCTATAATTTTATTCATTTATAATTTTATTTACTTTATAAACCACAAAGTTATTAAAACGTTTCACATAATCTTGCATTTTAAATGGACTTTGTGGACTTAAAACAGTCGCATTATGGATGAAAGTTGGCACGTAGCTGCTCTTTTTAATCAAGAGGTCCAGCCAGTCCTCTCTGCGTAAAGGCATGTAGTTTGAATTGTGTTTGTATGGTTTATGTTTAGGAAATTTACACACTCATTTTAGCTATTTTTTTAATGAGAAAACCATGATTGATAAGTACCAAAAGAAATATGATGATTTTTTTTTTTGTCATATTGCCCAGCCCTATATATTTGGCATCACTTTGGAGATTGCTTTGTGCTATATGAATACAACACAGCAGAAACTCAGCCCAGGATTTGTTGACCTTACTCTACCTTTCTATAGTTTAGTTTTTCGATGTCCATTACTAAAGTCCCTCATTGTTTGTGACCACCTCCAAACTTTTGTAAAAACATGTTGTAATCAAAGACTTGGTACCACCAGGGTTAGACAAGGATCAAAAATGGCATTATTCTTTCATCTTGGGCACAAAGTGACTCAGAAAAGGGCCCTCTCTCACATCCCCTTCAACAATGCTCCATTGTCTTCAGAGCGGCCAAAATTAGAAGGACCACAGCGCTACGGTCAGACCAGTGCAAACAAAAAACAACACAGGAACTTACACCCACACGGCAGGGCTGCTGCTGCTGCTGTCCCCAAGGTGGAGCGGGTGTGGCAGCTGTCCCCACTGACAGTTG